TCCCCAGCTGTCCCCCAGACATCGCTAAAGTCGGGGCGGCTCCCAACCCATCTGCATGCAAAAAGAAGCAGCCACCATGAGATGCTCCTGCTTTGCTGAATGATTTGCACTATAAGCCTGTGGGGTTTTTTGCTGTATTTTCTCCCATGCAGGTGGGGAGGGTGGTGTCCTGGCAGCTGCCTGCTCAGTCATAGGCGTGGGCTCCGACATCGGTGGCAGCATCCGGATGCCTGCTTTCTTTAACGGAGTCTTCGGCCATAAACCCACAACAGGTAATGCGGGCGTGGGGACCTCTTCTCAGAAATGCCAGGAGGTGGAATGCAGGGCGTGGGAGGAACCTGTTCGGGACACTCCTGTGCTTGCCACTGGTGGGATTGCTGAAAGGGCACAGGCAACTTCTTGCATGGGACAAGCCCACTGCGTGAGTGCAACCTGGCCTCGGTAGTGAGGAGCCATTTGGTGGCAGAATGCCAAGCGCGTGGGAGGTGTTTTACCCCTGGTATTGCATCCTCAGCATGGGATGTTTTCCCAAGGTCAGGATCTGCTGCTGGGGTGTTTCCCTGGCAGCTGGTGTCCCAGCTGGGTGCTTTTCCTCCTTTCCCCACCCTGTGCACCTTGCTGTCAGCTTGCAAGTGCTGCCAATGTGTGCAGTCCCCGGGCAACAGCTTCCCCCTGCACCCAGAGGCTGCCATTCTGCACAGCTTGCCTCGGCTGGAGGGGACGCTCACGGATGCTCGCGGGGTGGTACCTAACATCTCCCTCTGTGCTCGCAGGGGTGGTGCCCAACGATGGCCAGTTCCCGAATGCTCAAGGGGTGCGGACCAGCTTCCTGTGCACGGGGCCCATGTGCCGCTACGCAGAGGACCTGGAGCCTATGCTGAGGGTCATGGCCGGTCCTGGAGTCAACAAGTAAGTTGCTCCTACTGCTTCAAGCTGCTGAATTGGTCTCAGCTACTTCCTGTTTGGTGTAGAAGATAGGTCTGCATCACCCAGATTGCTTGTTACTGGTTTCCTTGCTCCACC